TGGTGCAGCGCTGGGTGTCACCGGATCCGCCTTTTGTCCTAATACACATTCTGGTGGCAGCGTCCTCTGACATACCCTGGTGACTTCTTGTGCTGACATGTCCTGGTGGCAATGTCCCCACTTGTGTATCCTGGTGGCATCGTATTCCCTTCTCCCTGTGTGTGTCCCTGTCCCCCCTTCATTCTGTGTATCACTGTCCCCCACCCGTGTGTCCCTATCCCTCTGCACGTGTCCCTATCCACGGTCGTGTGTCCCTGTCCCCTCGGAATATCCCCGTCCCCATCTCCCCCGTGTGACCCTATTCCTTTCTGTGTGTCTCTGTCCCTCTCTGTGTGTCCCCCACCCCCCGCCCCCAGTGGGACCAAAGTCCCCGATGTCCCGGGGCCGTGTCCTTCAGGATATTCACCTGTCCCGCAGGGTGTCCCCGTTTCCCGTAGCATGTTCCTGTGTCTGTTCGTTGCACTGAGCGTCTGTACCTGTCCCGGCACAGATAGGGACATCCCATGACACCCCACAGCACCAACAACACTTTGACCTCTAGTTTTGTGTCTTTTCTCCTTGGTTTGGGTCCTTTCCCCCTCTCTAGGGTCCTTTAACCCCATTTTGGGTTCTTTCCCCTTCTTTTGGGTCTTTCCCCTCTGTTTAGGGTCCTTTCCCCAGTTTTAGATGCATTCTTCAGATTTTGGTCCTTCCTCTTAATTTTGGCTGCCCTCCCCCTGCTTTTGATGCATTTTTGGGTGCCTTCCCTGTCTCAACCCTGTCCCCACCCTTCCCCCCACATGCCCCCGCTCCCTGCCCACCCGCATGTTCCCAAGGGTGTCCCGCATGCCATGTGTTCTCTGTGACTGACATCATGGACACCCTCGAGTCCCCGGGCTGGGGCGGCTCGCCTACAACCGCCCCGGCCCTGGGGCAGGGGCTGAGGGTCTGCAGCATCTTGGAATGCCACACAGGGCTGGGTGAGCACCCCTGGGACCCCCTCCTCGGTCTCACTCCTGGGCAGTGGCAGCTCCTGACCGAGCTCCTGCACTGTGATACTGCAACCCTGGACTATGGGGCCATGCTGGCCCCCAACAGCTCCATGGTGGCCCTCAGTCCCCTCTTTGCCAGCACCCAGATCTGGCTGAGGTCTAGACGATTTGGGTGACCCCTCCCCAGCCTCAACCCTCTGCTGATCCTCTCTTTACTGTCACCATCACTGAGGCTTTGGGGACATCTTTCCAGGTGACAACAATGGGACCATGCTGGAACCCAGCAGCTGCTGAGATGACGTGGAAAACTAAAATTACACCTTGCAGGGCCTCCCATCCCCTGGCCCCGATGCTGTGGTCATCAGGGCCATGGATGGGGTGGTCCTGGGTGCACGACTAGCCTGGGACCCCATCCTGCTGGCCAAGCTGCTCCAGGGCTACTACAGGACCAGCAATGGCTTGAAGTGGGGAGACCGACCCTCCCCCCCCCCCAGCAGTTAGAGCACCGGAATTTTGGGGTGCTGGTGTGGCCAGGACAGCGAGAGAAGGAGGCAAAAGAAGGTTTTGGGGATGCTGTGGGTGCTGTCACACACCTGG